CAAAAAGAGAGTAACAGCTTACTGACGTCAGAATAAGCCCGGCGACATGAATTCTTCCTGGAAAGTGGCGTATATACGGTAACGTCGGGATACCTCGGCGGACGGAGAGGCGCGACACATAGTTAAGTAACTAAGGTAAAAGGCGGCTCTTCGCTTCGAACCAGCACCCAAGTTACGTCGATATTTCTTCGCTCGACGTTTATAATAAGCGTCCAGCCATCTCTATCTCTCTCTCTCTCTCTCTCTCTCTCCCTATCTCTTTCTCTCAAGCGGAACAATATCGAAGGCGCCAGTTTATATACCGGCAACACTTTTATGCTCGAACGCGCGGCAACGTCAACGTCGCCGATAGCCCGGCGCTAGCCGAGAGTAGTAGTCTATATAGATACGACGAAGTTTAACGACAAACGAGGTTCATTATACTCGAGAAAACAAGGCCCAATGTATATACACGGTTGAAGAAAAATATAACAACATCGATCGCGCGTAACAACGTATATCTTGGTACTTAGACGCCACGCGGCTTTGTGTATCGGCGCGACGTGGCGCGGCGTGGCGCGGCGTACCGGATGTACGTGTGCTTTAAACGCGCAACACAACTACGGGCTGCACGCTGCACGGAAAACGCTCGATATCACGAGCGTTCTATAGCTCCCAATTTCGTCGACGCGATAGAAACTAAAGTACGTATTCCCTAATCGCAACAGATACAAAGACGCACGTGCAGATTAGAAGTGATTAAATTAATTTAATCATGCCAAAGCGCCGCGAAACGTTGATCAAAGAGAATTATGCAAAATATAACCAAGAGCATAGTGTGTCACATGCGTAACCCGCTTCAGCGCTTGCGTACATACAAGGAAATTAAATTACGCGAGCAACGTTACGTTAGATCATTTTATGCCACATTTGTCGTGCCCAAAGAGACGTGAATTTCACTGCGATATTTTACATCTTATAGACCCTCATAGGTTGTGCCGAGATACGCGAAAATGTCATTATGCGGAACGTCATCCGCCAATAACGATGTTTCATCCTTCAAGTATCAGAGTCTCGAAATTAGAATAAGGATCGATATCTCAAGGATCGGGATATCTTAAGTCATAGGCAAACGATCGGATAGGACAGGCGATATATAGGTGGGTATCGGTTGGATCTATACATCTTTATCTCGGTCGATTGCATTGTTAGCATGAAGCGCATTGTTTGACCGTCATATCGGCGCGAGGCCTCGGGCAACCAATCAGCGTTTGCGGTAGCCGTGCCTTATCAAAGATTTCCACCACCTAGCCGCAGGGCTTAAATCAACCTGTCCTCCGACGATCCTTTCTCCAGTTTGCGCAACTCTGTCGCGAGGAGAGTAGCAAACTAGTACTAGCAATAAGAAATCAACTCTAATTGCCAGACTTCGGGTAAGAACTCGTAATGAGCACACAAGATATCGCTGTTCGTAATCTTCGAGTATATCGGACGATCGATCTATCACGATCGACGAAACGTGAAAAAATTAGGAATAGCAATTCGCGATAACGCGCATAATTATTGTCGCATTCGAAGACTTCGTATGGACAATTTATAACGATTTAATTATCCGCACGCGCGCGCGCTACACACGCGCGTGACATTAATTAATATTCATCGATAATGGAATATTAGACAACACGTCTGTCGCGATATAACCGTGTGGTGCTCATCAAGCAATAATAAGCAACGGTAATTACTCGTTAATTGGATGACGCCGCGTTTTAATAACCATTTCGCAATATGGAAACGCGCGACAGGTCGGTGTGCGAAAATCCTTGGGACATTCATAAATGGCGATTGTGCAGAAATATCATTCTGACCATTGTAAAAAAAATAAAAAGAATATAACTTGAGATATAACTTAGGCTCATGATATTACACTATACCACGGTACTTTTTACCGCATAGTCGGCCGTCGCATTTATACATCCACTTTACGATCTCGGAAGTAACTCGGCGACTTTAACGTAAATCTCTCGCACAAGGTCGTCTTTAATGTCATATCCGACGGTCGCCTCGTCAACGAACGTTCGGTAAATCGGTGACGTAATTACGGGTCTCTGCTTGCTCACGGGTTTAACTATCTTATGAAATAGCTCGTAACGGCCGATCGAAACCCATATCGTTTTACCAGCGAAAATACGTATGGGAACATGCACGTAACGAGTCCTGCTAGCGACGTGCTGCTACAGCTGTCGAACATCCGCCGGTGTACGTGTAACTACCCTCCAAACGATGCACGGGCGTGTGCATGTATATGTGTGTGTTTGTGCGTGTGCGTTTATATACGTCTTGTATGCGCACACAGGGTGCTCACACAAAAGAGTAAGTACCGAAGGCGAAGGGATGAAAGTAGCGAAGATGAGTTTGAGTTTGGTCCGTAGCGCGCGTCTCGTTAATTCTTCGTCCCATGGCATGTCACTGCATTGTTTGCTCGGGAAAAGGGTGTTTATTGCCCGCAGCTCGAGACAAGAACTATCGTGTCATCTGTACGCGTTATTTACACGAGTGTGCGAGAGAGCGAGCGAGCACGATTCTGTCACTAGCTGCTCTCTCCTCTCTGTGCCACGTTTTAATGATCTCGATCTAACGACCGTGTGTAAGCTGCGTGCGAATCTCAAGAAAGGAACGTACAGAACGACTTTAGGATTAATCGGATTTATTAAAAAATCCGAAAAGATAGCATGCATGGATTTTAATGCTACAAGAAATGCGCGCATTTTATCAATTGCTCCAAAGTTTCAATAAAAGTCTATTATTTATACATCTATAAATAAGAGAGTATATGAGACTGATCAAAATCGAATTAATTTGTTATAAACTCATAAAAACTAACAGTCTTTTCCACGAATAAATAAAGAAATATAATTTTACGTTAAGCGTTATTTATAAATGCCTTCCTCTTCTTTTAGCAATGTTTTAAGATCATTCTATTAAAGAAGATATCGCGCGACTTTCAATCGATATCGAAATTGGAAGCGAGTAATGAAACCTTCTTTCCCGATAGGTCGGACATTGAAACGGGTCGAGCTCTATATTTTTGTATTTTCGCTCTCGTCCAAACGGGGAGAGTTGTACGGTCGCGGATCAGTGAGCAATCATACTTGAATAGGCGCCACGCACACGAGAGGCCAACGTGCGTATTCGCGTGTACAAGCGTGGACGCACGTTGATTCGAAATCATTGTGCCATACCCTGTCGACAATCGAACTTTGACGAACCTCGAATTTCGTATGCTACCGCACGAATTTCCCCTCGAAACGAATGATACGCGTGGGTGGATCGGAAAGGTCGACTTGTTTCTTCTAACGGAACAAAAATATCATTCCATGTAGATCCGATAAATAAGGCCACTGTCTACTACTGTGTACTAGTGCAACAATCAACGGAGAGACATTCTAAGACTTTTACGCGAGTTTCGGATTTCGTGCACTTGTGACAAATTCTTCTACTTGTGTCAAAACGCGTGTCGCCATGATAATACCATGTCGCTAAAATAAAAACACCTTTGTGACATGATCGCGGATAACATCTGGTGAATAAGCTTCTCTAGAGAGAAGCGCACGCGATAAGACGCCAAGAATATTAAATATGTCTATAATATAATCCAGAAATATGTTTCTGGGTAACTGTTTTGCTTATAATATAGATGTAGAAAGAAAATAAAGAGACACGGTAGTGTCTCGCGCCAAGTACGCGCGGAGCGAGACACTGATCGACCGTGACTCTTTTAGATTAAACACGCACACACATAAGGTTACTAGTTCCAACATCGATATATAAATAATTTTTAATTCATGTAGGCTGCCTCTCAACCGTATTTTTGATATTCTTGATGTAATATTAGAATAAAAGTGTCATCTCAGAAAAATAGGAATATTACTTAACTGTATCAATTTCTAGGATTTGTTCGCACATTTTTCGTTGTTTTCATTGTTTTTCACGATTGGTATTTATTGAATGTTCTTAAAAATTTGTACAACGCATTCAAAAAAATACCACAGATATACATATTTCATTTAGACACTACTATGCTCGTAATACAAACAACGCGCTACGCGAATCCATCAAATGCGCCATCGCTATAATTCAACCGTGTATTTTGACCATATCTCTGAGTTATTTCACGTTTCGTGCAACTCGTCATAAAAAAATACAAAAAGGCGCAAAAACCAAAAGCAAACGGATAAATTGCAACTGTTATGAAACTGGTCGTTTTATATATTTTAAAGTGCGGCGAGCATAAATACGTTTGTTCCTCGCATCCTGAATATTGTTGGGCGAACAATAAGACCATGCTTTATATGTTACATAATTTAAATAATATCCTTGAGAACATTATTATACCTGAGCAATTCCTTAAATGAGGTCGCGATATTTTGATGTGATAAAACTTATCAGACGATTCTCTTTTACAAAATATTTCTCATCAAAGCATAGCACGAAAGATTGTAAAACACTATCCAGTTTGTTTTTCGATCGATTTGATCAATAACCGGAAATAAGCAAAACTTTACGAAATACTTTAATAAGAAAACATTAATTTCAACCTTTTCCTGTATCGCAAATTCAATCCTTGATTGTATATCAATCGAAACACAATCAGCGTGCGGAATTAAATAAATATAAAAGATCATAGAATAAATAATTAATTAAATACATTTATATCTATTTTTTGCTATACTCGATAATTATAACGGTTGAAGTATGATCAAGATAACTAATTGTGTGATAATAAAAAATAAAATTTTAACCTAAAAAGTCTGTAAAAATCCTAAGCAAAAGCTGCTTTCGTAAATTATACTTATTTCAAAAAAATAACTTTTAATTTGACTATTGTATATATTATAAGAAATAATTATGCATACTTATGCACAGAGCTTCTTTCAATATAAATGTTAGTTTTTTTTTTTTAATAGACTTTTTGTGGCAAATTCCCACATTACCATCCGTGATTTTTAGACAGAAAGACTCACCATTATTAATCGCAGCCAAAGCGACGGCGCCGAGCAACCATGCGACGACGCTGACGGCGGACATCTTCGTTTCCCTCGTCGCGGTTTCCTCCTCACATAATACGCGCCTTCCGTGCGTTAGAACGAGCTGGAACAAGGAAGACGCATTACGTTAAACCGCGCGTGTGCGCGATGTCACAAGATATTACAAGTTCGGTCGCGCGTTTATCTTACAAAGGCGACGGTTTCGTAAACGCCCGGCTAAGTGCTGTATGTACGCCCGCGCAGCCGTTGGCGTTGGTGGAGTACTGGCGAGGAAAGCCGAGGAAACGATTGTGTTAGCGTCGCAATTTGTTACGCGTAATCTTGCGCGCTTCCCACGCATCCCATTATACCAACAACAGCGGATGTCGCGCAATAATAATTACTCGATCAAGCATGTGTCTACAAAAATATTATGATAACATATAACCACGTAACAAATTGCAGTCTCCAATTTTTATTCCCCTCCAGCAGTTGAAAATAAAGGCCTTCATTCTTTGAATTATATCTATAAAGACATCTCTGAGATACACGTCTTGAAATAAAATTCTGTTTAGCTTACAAATAACAACTTAAGATAACTTGTAGATAAAATATTTTTTCTCTCCGTCCTTTTACGACCATCTAACGCGATAAAACATGTTAAATATATCACATTCCTAAAATACAAATTTTAAATAGATATTTATTAATTGCTACACTGCACTGATTAGAATTATTGTTATATTGGTTTTTATATATTGTCATGTAAATTTTTTTTACTGCACAGAAATTTATTCTGGAAGAAAAATAACTGGAGATACGAGGGCTTACGATTAAATAAGAGAAAATTCAAGAATTTTTACTCGCGACCAGTATAGCGCAGGTTGAAAAGCCAGATGCAGAAAAATTTGCAACAACGTTTCTATTTATTTATACGAGAACAATCGCTCTAATGTCTAATCGACCGATTCGTAACAAGCTTATATTTAAAGAAATGAAAAGAAAGAGAGAGAGAGAGAGAGAGAGAGAGAAAGAGAGAGATCGAACACAGCTCTGTAACGAATATAGTTATAATTTACGGTATACTACACAACTGATAAGTGATACGAAGAGATTTTCTCAGATTTCCTGATGTACACTTTCGTTCGTATAAGAAATTTTTGGATAATATAAAGTCGATTTTCTTCGACTAAAATTCGATTGCGCGTAAATTTTTTTACAATTCTCTCTAAAATACAAATTTAATTGCAATAATATTTTAAATTTATTTAGTTTTTCATCATTTCTTTAAATGTAAAGTCTATCGTTTTCTATTAAAATGAAAAATTTTGCTGAAGAAAAATTTACATTATAAATATCAGAATAAAATATCATTTTTACATTTATGGAAAAATCCACTCCAAATAACTCTAAAGTCCTTATATGAGGAAAAGCGTGGGAAACTTGGAAAACACCCTGTATGGTCGCACACGATCTACTAGAAATTTTATTCGAGAATTTCCCGGAACATGCGGATGATTTTCTCGAGCGTCCGCGCTTTCTGCTCCGCGAGATGGTCCCGAGAAGCTGCTCATTCGTCACGTCGAGATAGCGTCGTCCTCGGACGGATCCGCGGAAGGCGCAACGTCCTCCTACCCATATTATAACCGGTATAACCGTTAGCGAAATAGCTTGCCGTGCCTCCCTCGAGTCGCTTTCAACCGTGACATACTCCATTTATACAAATCACGCGCTGTATCTTCGTGTCAAAACGTAATCGCCGCCCCGTTTTCTTCCTCCTGTTTATTTTCGCAAATATTTCATGTAATCTACCGAAAACGCTACAACTTGAGACTCGAGCTAGCTTCATCAGGAAAGCTTGTTATTTACGATACAACTAAATTACAGTGTCACAAAATTTGCAAATGTATTATTTGATCAATTTGAAGTAGATTGTTCTTCAGCGAAAATTACATTTCCGACATATTTTCTTATGCTGTCTTTATTTTTAACATTTATATTTTATATAATTAAATATTTAAGATATTCATAAAATTGTAAAAATTAAATTAGCATTTTAAATTCAAACAAAAACCGAATAATGCGATGAAATTTTAATTTAAAAAGCTATCTGTATTTCTTAATCTACCGCTTGAACCAGATATCGTTCTAGAGTGCTAAATACATGACCCTTTTTTCTCTCTTTTTTTTTCTTTTTATGTTTAACCAGAGCAGGGAAAGCGAAATAGGTAACACTATCGCTCTATCCACACCGACCGCTGCTCTCGCAGCTCGCAACTACCACACGAACCAGGCAACCCTTCAGACACACGGTTCCCGCTGGTTCTCCGCTCCTTTCATCCCAGTCCGCTTTACTTTATGCACCGGTTGTGCGCGCGCGGACTTTATATCGTCATACACTGTGTGCTTCGAAAACCTGAAATTCCGCTTTGCTACGGTTTCGCAAGACGCCACAAGCCATACGTTTTGAGCAAAATTTCGGCGTGCTTCCAAGCCGCGCCGCCGTGCACATAACTAATACATATGAATAATACAAAATGAATTTTTTGCGGTAACTCCGTTTCGCAATAAAGCTACAATATTACATCACACATTCACATATTTTATTTTCATAATCCTACGCAATATGAACTGCGTGTTCTTCACGCAATGAGAACATAAAATCATATATATTATATATATATCTATATAAATTTAATATCGGAAATGTTGTCAAGAAGAGCTGTCATATAAAATGCATTAATCAATATACGTATTTTAAAAAGTTCTTATTTAACTCTTTGTTGTTTTTCTTCTCTCATAATGTACTCACATACTATAAAATGTTCCCTTTATTCACAAGATTTTTGTGATATAGAAACAGAATAAACATGCAGTACTGAAAGCACAGCGTACAGCGTATTTCAATGAATAGCAAAGAAATGTGGATTATCAACATTCTTGATTAGGCTACGACAGGAAACAACAGCGAGAGAAGGCAACAACTGTTGCTTCGTTTGAGCATGGACAAAATGCGCGCGCGCAACACTCATATAATATAAAATTGCATCCGGCGCATTTTTCAAGATAAAAGAGTAAACGCACTTCCGCGAATGCACGCGAATGTACCTACATATACGACCAAAGAAGCGAGACGGAACGCCGTGGAGCTTTCGTTTATACGTAGTTATATGATAAGATCTTTATATTTGTATCTTCTCTGCAGTGTCCACACTGCAGAAACGAAAGCGGGGCTCGCTGAGCTGCAGATAAGGATAATAATATTTTCAAGAAAATTTCCAGCAGATAATTCACAAGAAACCTTAGAAGAGAACATTAATTACAACGCAAACTATATACGTTTTCAGAATAACGTAAAATTTTTAAGAAAAATTAAAACGTATCGATATTCAAAAATAAAGGTAGCAAGCACTCTTTTGCAAAACAGAAGCATCAGTAATGAATGGTACCTCGGCATTCTCTTATTAGTGGCCATTAATTATAAAAAGTACAAATTATATTTGGATCACTGATTGTGAGTGGAATAGCGATGTAGGTCATTAAAAATAAATATTCTTTTCATGTACACTATCTATTGTGCGCAAAATAGTTAATATTTTAAACGCCTCCTACACAACTCATCATTCGCAACTAGATAAGTTTAATTTCTCAAAAACGCAAGTCAGCCGCGATCATCGCCGCTACGCCACAACACGACAATAGTACTGAACAACAGAAACAGAATTATGTTTCCATATTATTGGAAACGCGTAACTCTGCGAATTTCACCGTGATAGGAATTTCAACTCTATAATTTAAAACATAAAGTTAAATTAGCCCACATCCTCACTCTTTTTCCATATCAGCCAACAGCCCTACGTTTCTAATCTGCTAAACATGCGCGCGGTAAACAATGGTCGTGATACTCGCAATTAGCGTGAGCAACACGTCGTAGAAACGTTATTTTTCAAACGTTTTTTGGAACGGGACAGTTCATATCTCGTCGGGACCATCCAGCTTTGCGTTTGCTTTCGTGAAACCCGTCAGACGGACGGGCCCTCTAACGTTTATTTACACAGCTCAAACACATTTTTCATTCTCCACGTACGACCTGTGGTACGTGGGAAACATTATTGGCCACCACGTAACCGGCACCCACCACGACCATTAACATCATTACCGGTATGAGCAATAACGACGGCGGGATCGCTATCGTTTGGCCGCACGAGATGTTGATCGATCATTCGTGAACACTGACGAGGCAAAACGGAGGCGCAGGATACCGATCTCGCGACAAACTAACGGGCACCCGGTAATAATTCAATGTAAACGCGCATAAGTGCTATTAATAAGATCCGAAGGGAAGCACGGTCGAGTATCGTGAATGTATGATTGAATAACATAGCGCGCGCGCGCGCACACGAGATACGAATATATTGCGCGAAAGCGTATTTTGTGGGAATTATCTGATGTATGTTGATGAACTGGAGTGTGTGAAGTGTACTTGTAGAGTAAAATGTGTATGCGATCGTAACGGGTAGATCTGGAGGCATAGAAGAACAGCCGTTTCGCGGAAAGCGTATACACATCGCGAAAGTAGGAACGCTCGTTACGCTCGTTTCAGTTCGGATCGCTCCCGAGTAATGCCGTGGCGTAATTTCGGCAACGGGGCTCGCCGCTGAAACGAAATGGCCGGGTGTTTATTCATGCAAAGCCAACACACTCCGAAACAACTCACCACATCTCTGTGCTACGTAAATGAGGTACTCGGATATGTCCCGGTGCCTCGTTGTTTGCTATCTTACGAGCGTCTGCGGATGCTTATAAAATGGAGATAATTAACGCAGCGTCTAGAGATAACGGGCACACCAATTTGCGGTTATCTCTCCCTTTTGTCTTAGGCGTTGCGCCGCCCGCACCTTTCTAGGCACCAAAAACGCATTAAGATAGCGCTACGTGATATGAAGATTCACGCAACTTCTCACATAACTTTGCAGAACGCAAAACGCCATTTCTGGAAACATCCCGCACCGTAAATTTGTACAATATAATACTGTTAGAATTATTAGCCACAAAAACTCCTGCTTTTTGTCAAGAATGATTGAAATGTATACCCCAATATCGGTTTTTTACTTCAGTATATTTTATGTGCAATGACATTCGATTCGCAATGAGCGTAATATTTTTGCGACTATTGTTAGTCGCACTGCATTCGGTCTCATTTATTTCAAATTATATTTTTACGATTTTAACTCAAACTATATATGTTTGGTTTCAGCAGGAAATAATTCTGCATTTTTCGTAAGAGATTTTAGATATTATGTTTATATAGGGGTCTGTCGCTACACGCAAATATTATACATTACGGAATGGTACTTCATTTCACACGAATAAATCGAAATTACTTACTTGAAGTTAATGGAATTATGACCGCGCGTTTGATCGATGTAATTAGCAACGACCAATATTTGATGAGTCTAAGGTACATACTCCGCGCGCGAGCTGACAACTAAATATCACATTGGAGCTTCTGATGCTGCAATGCGACGAAAAACAAAGGAAAGCAATATATTGAGCATCATGTAGTAGCATATTTAACTATTACATATCAGTTGATGCATTATTACATTATTATAATTTGCAACTAATTAAATGTACTAAACGAATAATGATGCTACATAATACGAGGTAATATAATGTGTTGATACTACAATTACAGTAGGTAATTATTACGTAAAAAATATCACGTGAAACAATTATTTCAGAAATCATGTATTCAGTTTCAAGAAAAACGAGCCGCATTAATAAATTATATCAAAGTTTATTAAATTTCACCTTTAAAAACGTGAACGTTTAAAATAACAATACATGTCATTTTGAAAGAAAACGTTATATGTGTGATGTATATGTGTGATGTATATATGTGTGTTTCACATATTATGTACTATATCCGAAGAATTAACTTTTTACGGAATCGCGAATAATTTCGCTTACCTAATACCTATCGCCAATCATCAAGAATCGTCCTACTTCGACATCGTTGTCGGAAGCGCGTCAAGTGTAAGACGCCCGCTACTTCCGCGTTTTCCTGCTTGTGTCTAGCCTCCAAACGACGATTAGTAATTCCTCACGCAACTTCACTATCTGTCACTCGCGAAGCTGCATTCGTAATCAGAGTGCCGCCCCCGCGCCGTTAAGATCGTCACGATCACTAAGCAAGCCAACCACAGCGCGACCAAAGAAGAAGCTCGTTCATAACGGCAAGAATGGGCTCGGAAAGCTCTGGACGCGTCGCACAAAACTGTCACACGGATGTTACGAACACAACATACGAGCTAGGAGCAATCACGTCCTCCTAGCCGCCACTGCTGCGCCGCTGCTCTCGTTCCCGACGCAGCTAATTAATCCCGAATTTGAGACGCGCGCGCGATAATGGGAATCCCCACGAGCGAGTTTTAATTAAAACTCGGGCCCCCTAGCTCGTCGCTCGTCGCTTTTCGCTCGTCGCTCGTCGCATAGCGTACTTGACCTTCCTCGCGGCAGGCTTAATTGAATCCTCGTCGATAGCGAGACGCGACGATTACGCATACGCGCGTAGATTAAGCGTGCTCGCATGTTGGCCGTTATCGCGGATATACATGCCGCAACATAAATACCCCATTGATCCAACAGGGCGTTTGTATCGCGGATGGATCGTGGTGCCAGCTGATCCACCAAAAGCCCCCTGTCAGCCGGTCTGACCACCACGAGCCCGCTATCACTGATTGTGAGTCCGGTGGCGGTACAATCTACCGTACGACTACTACACCGCGACTCTGTCGCTGCTGTCCTCCGCTACTGCTCCTTCGTGACGATCCGTCACTACTGGTCACTACTTGTCGCGCGCGACTGTCTCTCTCACTACTGTCCGAAATCCTGTTTACCGTCTCCCCAGTACTACTGTCCGCACTCCTTCCTGACAATTCCGAAACGCTCGTCGATATCTCTCTCGTATCTCGCGACACTTGACCCGTGACCGATCGGTCGAATCGCCTCTCGAATATGTCACTATTCACCCTCGGCAGCCGCCAGCGTCCCGGCGGCTGACACTCGCGCGAACTTGGCGCGAACACTCGAGCGTACGAGCGAGTGCACGTCGCGTTTAATTGCGCGCGCGTTATCAATTATCATCGACGAGGAGTAATTAGCCGAGACAAGTACGAGCGCGATTCACTCATAGTCACGCGACTTGTCCCGCTGTTCACTGGAATCGCGGCGAGGGTGCCCGCACGCAGAGATGCGCGCGCGTACGTGCGTGCATATAGATGTGTTGTATTTGTACGTGTGTGTATGTGTATGTGTGTGTGCGCGCCTGTGGGATCCAGGTCCAACCCTGGCGCGATGCGATGGAGAACTGACGTCCTGACGGGTTGCAGCGCCCCGACGACGGGCGTCCGGTGAACCATCCGCCGTGAAGCGAGCGGCGGGAGATCCGCCACCCATTCAACCCCTCCTCGTATCCGACACCCCTTCGTATCCCCTCCCCATACAGAGCGGCACGGTGCTCCGCTTTTGCCCGTGCCACCTTGTCGTCGAGAGGGCACCGTCGTACGCGCCCGCGCCGCCACGAGAAATTTACACGAAATTTTTTAAAATATCATTCGTGCTATCGGAAACGAATTTTTCGGAATTGCGCTGGCTTTTGCGGAGAAAAGAAATTCAGGGGATGCATTGTCAAAAAACCATTGCCTATTGGTTAAACGTTTAGATCTTGATATATTAATTGTATCACTGCCAACATTTTTATATTCTATCACTCGATATAAAATGTTTGAGTGTGATTAAATTCTATAAAAATGTATGATATTTAATTACACGAATTATATTAAATTATCAAAATTATTTTAAATAGATAAAGTAAGTAAATTTAATTGTGTTTAAATTTAATTATACTAATTGTAAGAACTTTTCTTCCGTAGAAACATTTGAAAATATGAACAGAAATGAAGATAAAGTACATACACGGAGTAGGTACTCCAAATACCGTCATAATTAAATTAAGAAAGTAACCCGGTATGACTCTCGCAGGCAATCGATCGATATTACAAATACTCGGTAAAAACAGGACGCACGGAATTGAATCTTTCTAATTATTTCCGTTTAGACATCTGTCATAATACTTCATATATATTTTATGTATTTTCTTCACGTGTAAAAAACATCCAGAGCAATCTAAAATTTGTTATGGAGCTCTATGTGAATTTTACGCCTTATACATGTGTATGTTACACAATTCTTATATTAATTTATATATAATATGTTATATGAGAGACGTGCTAGGCGCTTAAAAGTGGCGAATAGGTAATCTAAAGGCACGAGAAGAATAGGTTCACGTAATTTCTTAATCAATATGGCCTAAATCATTCTTATGACAGAATAAGGCTCGCGTTCTGAGCTGCGTGTTTTCCAAGACTTGCATGCATTTGCGAACGTCACGTGATTCGCGGGGGCCACGTAATAGACGGCTTTACATCATTCCGAATTGGATGCGGTAGAAACGGTAAAATCCTGACTTTCCGCGGAAGCATCGCTCTATTCCTCGATTACTGCGAAATCTGTTTTATTTCAGATACGCTTGTGGGGGGAGAAGGGGGGAAAATGTATTAACATACACTAATTTTCATCAATGAAGCATTATCGGCAATTCATATGTACCTATATTACTACATTTTTGATACGATAATGATATCGTGTAATAACCAGGTCACCATAAAATAACTCCTATAAAGGCCTATTCAAACGAAATAATTTTAAAATAGTATCTTATAAAAGCAAGGAAAAAAGGAATTTGCATATTACACATATACATAATTTCTAACACAGTATTAATTTTATGTCCGAACGTACACGAATAAAAGCGACTCGGCGTTTGCCAGTCGCTTTGCAGTCTTTACGCTCTAAGCTGTATTATTAATTAAAGGAATTAACTTCACCATATATGGCGCGACCCTTGCTCGTGGAAAGGAAGGTCGAACGCTTATATCATAGTCTAATTTCCAATTAAGGCGTTATTAATACCGGCGCCAGTAAGCGTTGTACCTCGTGGATTATATTACAATTTACATTGTGCATGTGAAAGACTTGTTATCAAGCCTGAATTTCTTATTTTATTTATATTACACAATAAATTTAGACAAGATTTGATCACATCAAAAATTACATGCAGCAAATATTAGAATCTAAATTAAGAAGAATGCCATGTATTTTTATATTTAAAAAATCGATAATTCTAGAATTATAAAAATGACTCATTGTCAGTGATTTATGACTAATAAAAAAAATAACATTATTCTTTGGTTAATTCCAAATAATAATTTTAATTTGTTTAATTTAATTTAATAGGGAGCTAGTTACAAAGATAATTAAAGCAATATTTTAGTAAATCAAATTTCCACAAAAAAATTAATTTTTAATTTATAAATGTTCTTTAATGTATCATTAGAAAGTACATGACTTTTTCTTCTACGTATCGACACGTTTAATAGATTAAATAATTAAAGTACGTTATTCGATAAGTACTGCGCTAGTAAATTACAAAATATTAAATTCAACATGACCTGAATATTAACTGAGATATTTCAATAAATATTATATACCCAATGTAATATAGAATTGCATGAAAAACGTGCATAATAGCATGAAAAAATAATTTTCCAGTATGCACATGAGAGAACAAACCTCAATTAAATTCAATGTACATATTTTTTCGAATAAGAGTTATTCGGAAGAAATAACAATTATATGGTTAAACTAATATATTTTCTCGTTTTTAGACACAAAAGTAAAGTAAAGTAATTGCTCGTCTAAAAGTATTGAATGCTTTTAAAGACCTAACATCATAAATTAGTCTGAAGCAGTATACACAGTAACTATTAAATATAAAAAAATTAAAAGAATAACATTAAACTCTGAATATATATGATTCGATATTGTCTATGAGTTTAAAATTAAAATTGGGGATTACGAAACATTGTAGATTTCTGTACGTTATTTTCACCGATTTGTATCACGGATAAGGTGCGCGAGGCGACCACGGATGTTTCGTACCGCAACCTTCGGGATCGTAGAAAGGTGCGTGGGACAGAGGCAGGTAGACGGGTCGTTTCACACAGCAGCGCCTCGCTTAATTACTAGTTACTAGTAACAGGAGTTAGAAGCGTTTAGCTCACAGTTCACGCCATCCAACAAAAGCTTATAATGTTACGAACTATTCCCATTGCTACCCTAGATTCAACAACGAGGCTTCACCCTGTGCCCGGATTCATATTACTTCGAAATCATATCAAATACGGAAACGAGTCTGCGAGTTCGCGAACTGCAGTTGGCTCGGTTTACAATATAATTAATCTCGTGACTGCCCGATATGAGTTTAGCGAGCTAAATATAATATCGGTGTCTGTAGCATATTATCCATATAATGTTAAGAAAGCTCACATTTTGTAATACAAAATGTGACGTTATCAAAACCTTAGATTCTAGCGATCCAATATCGCACTGAACTTGATGTCAAAATTAAAAGACGCGACACACGAATTCAATTAGTCTATAAACAATGCAATTGATTAATATAATTTATTGCATACCGCTGCACAACTTGACTCGCTAGTGCGGTCATTTTCAGGTTGTAACTATAAATCTCGCATTTCTTGAATCACCGACGGAAAATTCATCGACAATAAATCGGAGTTTCGACAACGTGATTCAACGATACCGAAAACAAACGCTCGGGCGCAAATCACAGCTACGTTGTTAAAAATCCCTCGTCCATAGTATTCGCGAGATCGATTTACCAAACACCGTTTGGAAGAACTTTGCAGCTTTGACATTTGCCCGACGAATGAAACTAATCAAACATTCCATCCGATATACTACACTTACTACAGAGCAGTCACACTATCCATAACCATTTTGTTCGACTCAAATCGGTCTCGATTAAATACGAAACTGACTGCACATGCGATTACTCTTAAAAGAAAATATCACAATAAATATAAACATGTATCCATTTGAAAAAATAATTTAACATTCTAATATTATTACATTCCCTATCTTTATATAGAGAATGTATAATTCGCAAAAATATATAAATTTATATGTATAATATGTAAACTTCTTTCTTTTATATACTATTTTTGAAAAAGTGCTTTGCGTAAGTGTGAAAGAAAAGTTAGGATATATTTCTCTGTATCTAATAATAATTTAGATATAGAAGATAAAGAAAAGTTGAAGGATTGATGTAAAATTATCAAGAAGCAGTGAGTAAATTCTCCGAATTCTGAGTCAGCTTCAGGATCGAAAAAGTAGCCTATGTAAGCAAGGGTGGCAATTTGAGCAGTGGACATCCCTTGTCGCCTTTGGCGAGGCTTCCAGCGGCCGACTATCCCGTGCCGCTGAACACAGAGTTCTCGGTCGGTTGTATCCACACGCGTGCTAGTTACATTGGGCTTTGCGCTGCCGATGCGTGCATGTAGATCGAAGGGAATGGCGATACTACGTACACTAGGATGGTTAGACCTGGTTGGCGTCCGTTAGCTGTAGCCCATACACACGCAGATTGGATCGGACATTGCACGCCGTGCAGCTCAGCTTCTGAACAGAGAAACTGCGTTTGCCGCAGCTATACCTATCTAATAGGATACGGACTAACGCAACCGCGCGTACATTTAGGTTATCGAGTTGAAATGTTCAATATGAGAAAGGCAATCTGGACATCGTTGGCCTGACGAGATGCCGCGGCCGTTCTGAAATCTGTGTCAATTTCGATAAGTGTAACTCCGCGCGATCGTCCCACGCGCGATTTCGAATTTCGACAAAAACGATGAATGATTAACGCTGGATTATTCGCCGTCTTGTAGCCAGATAACACGCCTGTTAATAGCAACAAACGGAAACGCGGTGACGTTTACACGCGGCAAAACCGCTGCGAACTTTACAGCGAGTTCGCCCTGTCGAACGAACTTGTAGCTTCGCTTGCGGTTGACCGTCAATTTCGGTTCCAAGAGACAGTTTACTTGGAACTGGATGTTGAAACGAATTCCGAAGACGCGCAGTCCGTCGTACGTGTCCATTCGTCTGCGAAATCGATTTCTTCGCACTGTCGTAAATGGTTAATGGCTCCGCGTAATTTAATTGCGACTCGGCACGAAGTCGGGATGAAGTACGCGCCGTGTTCTCGGAACAATCCGGTATTTCGCTCGCTAATCCACTGCACGTTGTACGCACGCTTGTGCTACAGACGGCGTGGCGCGGCGCGGCGCGGGACGAAGGCAGAAGTGCCGCACACGGTGCCAAGAAGTGCAGATTTGCTATTTCCGCGAACATTCCTCCGGCCCGCGGTAG